CTTTCAGTGTTCAGAGCTGTGCAGTGTGTCATGCGTTTGTTGTTCATTCTCCATCAGTGTCAGTGTGTTCCATGGGTCGGTTATCAAAAAATCTACTAAAACGTAGTCGTTCAGACAGCTGCGATGTACTGTTTCTTTTGTGGGTCAAAAGGGGGCGGGGCGGTCCCTCCCGGTTTCTCTTGGGCTCCTCCATGCAGTTGCTGGTAGGTTAGACAGAGGGTTTCTGTTGGACTGGCAGGTCCAAGATGGCCTCCGTCGTGTCTCTGAAAGTTGGTTCTGGCTATTGCCTTACACCCAGGTTCTCCTTGGGGCCTTTCTTCTAGCTACACCTGCTTCTTGCGTGTTTTGTTTTTTTTTTCTGGATAGCACCCCCAGGTAAAGACAGGTGTTTATAGGAAGACTCGTGTTACAGTTAGAATGTCACTTTGCTTCATCCTGTTGTCACAAGTGCCACCACAGGTTCAAGGCTTCTCCATGAAGACGCAGGAAACTACAGCCATTTGTGCATATTACATAATTGCCTGTAAAGTGTCACTATGACACTCTATGTCACTATGTCTCTGTGCTGAAGTAAATGTACCCGTGTTACGCCAAATAGAATTTGCAGGGAGGGGGTTGAGATACTGTTTCTCTGTGTAGCACTCACTGTCCTGGAACTCACAGAGATCTGCCTGCCCCTGCCTCCCCCAGATTTTATATGAATTCTGTGGTGTGTTGAATGAGATTTACAGTGAGGTCTGATATGTGCTAATCATGTTTATAAATAACTCTTGAAATTTCTCTGTCTTGTTCTTGTTTGGGCTATTGTTGTTTTGATTTGATTTAGTCTGCGATGGTGTCTTCCTGCGTATCCCAGGCTGGCCTCAAATTCACGGTCCTTTTCCCTCTGTCTCCCAAGTGATAGAATCACTGGCATGGACCACTATGCCTGCTGAACTTTTGTGGCCTTTTTTCTACTGAAGATTGATAGTCTAGAAACCAGGAAGGGAAGCAGAGCAGGGACTGTGTTCCAGACTTAGTGTGAATTTGGGGTTCATTTACTTGCCAGCAGAATGTAGGTGGTTGAGGATGACTTGGGAACAGGTATGGATACATGGCGTATTTCATCTGGCACGAATAATAAAAACCCAGAGACAGATATTGGGGTTCAAGCTGAAGCCCAGAGAGGCAAAGCAGCCAACCACTAGAGAGTTCTTACTTACCTCTACCTCAAACCGAAGCGGGTGATCCTGTCTCCATGAATTCTGACACAAATACCAACTGCCCCGCTCTCCACCAAGCCTCAGACTGCAATTCTCTGAGTCCCTGTCTCCTTCCTCCTTATATTCCTCTTTCTGCTTAGCCATATCGCTCCTGTCTCCACCTCCCTAGAGATGGAATTAAAGGCATGTGATCCCAAGTGCTGAGGTCACCTTTGTGTGAGCTGTTTCTCTTTTAGACCAGATCAATGTCATGTAGCACAGCGTGGCCTCGAACTAACAGAGATCTGTCTGCCTCTGTCTCCTGAGTCCTGGCATTAAAGATGTATATCATCACCTACTGGTTCTCTGGCTGAGGCTAGGCTTGCATTTGGATCTTCAATGGCTTTATTAAATCATAAATAATATATCACCACGTTCATCTAAGAAAATACTATACTTAACTAGGTTTAAAATGTGGACATTTTAAACTAAACTAGTGCCTTTGCCAGAGATGGGAGGGCTTAAGCATAAATGAGATTGCTTTAAGAAATAAAATGTATAGGTCGTCTGACAGTTAGCTGGGTGGCCAAGACAGAAGCATCTCAGCCAGGGATTTTTAGCTAGATAATGGAATCCCCCACTAACATAGGGCCATATTTGGATAGAAAACATGTGTTCAGGTTTTGGTTTTGCCAATTTTGACAGAGTCTTAGTACAGTTTTGGCTGACCTGGAACTCACTATATTGTCCAGGGTGGCCTTGAACCTATGAAGATCCTCTGTCCTGAGATCCTTCTATCCTAGCTTCCCAAATACCAGGAGTATATGGAGAAATATGGTGGGCACAAAGGAGACACGTGACGGGTACAAAGGTGTGGATAGGAGACACTACTTTATACAGCCTTCCGTAGTCTACAGTCATTCCCCATAATCCGTCCTGATTTTTTATTCTGGGTCACTGCTGCTAGGCTGCTGCATATTCCTCTCCCCTAGGGGCTAGGTATTGCCTAGCAGAGGTTAATCAGAAGTCGGGTTTGCCCCTTACCTGCTGTGTCAATGTAGACTCCGTAGCCAGACCAGGCTGCTGAATGGGCTCCAATCTGGGTAAACAATCTCAGGGCTCAGCATACTTTCTTACAATAGAGCAATGTCCACAGCATACGCTCAGGCGATAATTGTCTACCCCTAGACTGCTCCATAATTTATATTGTGAATTAGATATTTTCTGTGTAATCTCAGCCAACTCAATGGTTTACCTAGTCAGGCTCTGGTGAGCGGTTTCTTTGCTTGTTGTTGTTGCTCTGTCTGGGATAGATCGACATTTCTTCACATTTTCCTAAGAAAAGTTGTGCAGCACTGAAAAAGATCTATGCATGGAGGAACACGAGGCAAACAATAGTGTGTGATATCCCTCTAGGTGAGGGCGGTGATCAGGAGCCATTAATGGTATTGGTGTCAAAGGAGATGAAAAGGACTCATGTTCTCTGGTATTGTATATAGATGAATAAAAAGGTTCTTCCTGGCTCCAGCCAGATCTGTTTTGAAATAAACTAGATAAAATAAAGGCTGTGAAGATAGAATGTGGAAGAATTAGAACTTTTGGGGAAGACGTATTGACATAGTTGTAAACCCAGAATCTATCTGTAAGTGATAGAATCCCCTGGTCATACCAAATCCAAGGACGGGACTGCATCACAAGACCTTGTCTCAAACTAACAAACAAAAAATGAGAAAGAAAGAGGAGAAGGAAAGAAAGGGAGAGAGGGAGGAAGGAAGGAAGGAAGGAAGGAAAAGAAAACAGGCAGGCATGCTGGGAAAGGTAAGTGTAGGAGCAAGATGTGGATACATGAAGATTGTAGAGGGATCACTTATGCAGTTGTGATAGTCATAGCAGGCTGCTATAACAAAAATGCCACAACCTGGGTGGCTTAAACAATAAACACTTGTTTGTGAAGTCAAGATGAAGCAGCTACTCAGTTCGGTGAGGGCTTTCTTCTTGTTTGCACATAGATGCCTGCCTTCATGCTTCATCCTCACTCAGAGACAGCAGAGGGAAGAAAACGTTTAATTGGGGTGTCTCACTTTCAGTTTCAGAGGTTCAGTCCATCATCGTCATGGTGGGGAGCATAGCAACCTGCAGGCTGGACTTGGTGCTGTGCTGGTAGCTGAGAGTCCTGCATCTTGCAAGCAACAGGAAGTCACACTGAGGGAAACTGAGCAAAAGAGACCTCAAAGCCCGCCCCCACAGTGACACACTTCCTCAAACAAGGCCACGCCTCCTAATAGTGCCACTCCTTTTGGGGGCCAGTTTCTTTCAAACCAGGACACATGGCCAGTACCTTTACTCTTAACTTTCTGAGCCATCTTACTGGCTCTCTTTCATGTCTCTTCTAATCTCATCATAAGGGCTTCAGTCTCAAAAGCTATTTATGCCCAGAATCCCCATCTCCAGGTGCCATCACATTTAGAGACACATAGATTGGAGGTGGGAGACACATACAGTCACTCAGAGTTATTTGAGCATGGCAGTCTAGGAAAGGGAACTGGAAAGATGTTATGAGCCAATTTAGAAAGACAGGCCAATGCACTGTAAAAACTCTGACTAAACTATTCCGCATTCTTTCTTTCCTGTTGTGGAATATTACTTTATGTAAAAGTGTGTCACATTTCTTTAGACTGCATTTGTTTAATTATGTAAGTGTGTGTTGCTTTTGTTTATGCTGCCTTATTTAACCATGTAAAGGTATGTTACTTTTTCACCTTGCCTGCCTAAGGCACCTGCTTGGTCTAGTAAAAGGGCCAATAACTAGGCAGGGCTGGAGGACAGAGAGAATAAGTATGAGGAGGAATCTAGGAACAGGGGAGAGAGAAAGATGCCTGTGGCTAGAAGCCAGGCAGCCACCAGCCAGACAGATACCCTGCCAGAAAGGAAGGAAAAAGGAAGGTAAGATATACAGAATGAAAGATAAAAAGCCCCAAGGCAAAATGGGGATAAAGAAAAACAGATTAAAACAAGAACTAAAAGCCCAGCCTTGGGGGCGCACGCCTTTGATCCCAGCACTCGGGAGGCAGAGGCACAAGGATCACTGTGAGTTCGAGACCAGCCTGGTCTACAAGAGCGAGTTCCGGGACAGCCTCCAAAGCCACAGAGTGTCTCGAAAAACCAAAAAACAAAACAAAACAAAAACAAGAACTAAGATAAGACCAAGCATTCATAACTAATATTAATTTGGGAGCTGATTGGTGGCCCAAAAGAAAAGGCCTGCTATACTTCCCTTCCTTCTTTCTTTATGCCCTTTGTGGGTGTAGGTGTGGTTGGGCGCTAGGGATCAAGCCCAGAACTAAGTAAACACTGAGACAGACACCCAGCGCTCCCACTGCTTTTCAAGGTTACTGGAACTCAGCCTATGAATGGTAGACTTGCAGTTTGTGTTTCTGGTTTTTGTTTAATTACCAGGAGTAAAGGCATCTTGTTCATTTCTGACATCTCTTCAAGGTGACTAACTGGAACCCAGCCTATAAATGGTAGACTTGCAGTTTGTGTTTCTGGTTTTTGTTTAATTACCAGGAGAAAAGGCATCTTGTTCATTTGGGACACAGATCCTCTCTTGGACTTGACATTTGTAGCAGCATATGACAGCTATATCTGTCTATCTGACAGCTCTGCTGTGATACTTCCCAGAAGCCTATGATATACTTCCCGGAAACCTATGATATACTTCCTGGGCGCCTATGTTGTCGGCTTTCAGATGAGCTCTTTTCCTCTTATTTATGTTTGCTTTACTTTTCTATTCCTCGTTTTGTTTTTCCCCCCTCCCAGACTGATGAGCCCTGAAACTGCGCTCCTACAGCCCAGGGAAGAGGAAGGGGTGAAGTATGAGCGAACCTTCATGGCATCTGAATTCCTGGACTGGTTGGTTCAGGAAGGTGAGGCTACAACCAGGAAGGAGGGAGAGCAGCTTTGCCACCGACTTATGGAGCATGGCATTATACAGCATGGTGAGTGTATCGGTCAGTGCCTGCTACAGTGACAGACAATCTCCCAACCTGTGGTCTGTAACAACATACACTTATTCCCCCCTCCTGGGACCATGAGTCATCCGTGCCTCTGGACAGTGTCACTGGCTTCTATGTTGAGAGTAAGGTAAGAGTTATGTTTCTTGCCTTGCCTGGGCATTGTGACATCAGTTTAAAGGGATATGTTACTCTGCAGATGTTTCAGCAGATGCTAAGAAGGGAAGGCAAAGTCTTTTGCACTTTTACTTTAATGTCTGTGCGTGTTTCACGGATGTATGCGTCTGCCTGTGCCACATCAATGCCTGGTACCCACAGAGGCCAGAAGAGGGTGTGAGGTCACTGGAGGTGCCGATGGGGTTGTAATTGCCATACGGATGCAGATAGTTGAACCTGGGTCCTCTGGAAGAGCAGACAGTGCTCTTAATGGCTGAGCCATCTCTCCAGCCCAGGAAGGCGGATTCTTAAAGAGCTTCCAAAAGTTCCACTTAGGTATGATACCACATCACGATTCCGTATACAACTGGCGCTCACAGTCATATAGTCACTTTGCATGTGAAGTCAGGAAGACTGGAAGTTCAAGGTCTCTCTTCACTACACTGCAAATTCAAAGCCAGCTTGAGCTACACGAAATCCTCTCTCAAAAACAAGCACTGAAATATTTCACAAGCGGAATAAGCAGTGTTGTTTGTCAGATCTATTATCCGTGACCTTAGGGAGAGTGAACTGTGAGACAAGCTGCATGGTGAAGAGGTAATACAAAAGAGTTTTGTAACCATTTTCCTCCTTATGGGATAAATTGTAATGATGCAGTATAATCTTTGGTTAAAAAATTTATTATCCTTACTGCATAACCAAAAAAGCTTTAAAGTTTGTTGGAAAACATACCAAAACTTCCTGGCAGTTTCTGTGGATCAGAAATCGGGGCAAGGCTTAGCGGGGTGCTTTTCACTGGGGTCTCACCAGAAGCTGTGGTCACACTGAGAGGCAGGGCTATAGGACTGGAGGACTCACTTCCACAATGGCACGCTGCTTGCGGAACTCCACCAGGTTCAGCCAATTACTGTCTCTTATCCGGGAAGTGAGGATGACTTCATTGGGTGAATGTAGAAATAATAGCCAAGAGCAGACACAGAGCTCGCATTTAATGACCCTGCTCTTAGTAACAACGCACTCAGTTAATTTCCCTGCAAGGTGTAGGCTTAGGACAAGGAGGAGGAAGTCAGAAGCATGTGTGTGGTCATGCCCAAGTGCATAGAAATTGTAACATTAGAGGCCATGCGCTCGTTCCCCTAACCCTCCTCCTTCCAGGCTAAGGATTTCTGTCTCAAGAACATGCAACTTGAGAAATAATGAGCACCGTTTCCCTAACTCTAGCAGGTCAGGAAATGCACACCCACCATGACACATGTTTGGATATCAGAGGACAACTTGCCTGAGCTTGTTCTTGTCTTCCACTGTCTGGTTCCCAGGAACCAAACCCAGATTGGCAGGATTGGCAGGCAGCAAGCGCCTCTAAGTGCTGAACTATCTCACTGGCCCTATGACACAGTTTTAGAAAGCTACTTACAGCATTAGAAATGATAAATACATGCCAGGCAGTTGTGGCACATGCCTTTAATCCCAGCAAAGGCAAGCAGATCTCTGTGAGCTTGAAGCTAGCCTGGTCTAGTGAGCAAGTTCCAAGACAAGAGACACCTTGTCTCAAAAACAAAACAAAACAAAAAAGAATGAAAGAAAAAACAAGAAATGATTAATACAAATGTAGATTTTACCCCTCATTGTGTCCTCTGTGTTACCTGGGAACACGATAGAAACGAAGAAACTCTTGCCCTATTCTGTTCCCCACGTTCTGTTGATCCTTGCCTGTATTTTACCAAGATCCCCATAAATTAGAGCGTACATAAGTAAGGTGGTGAGCATGATGGCATATGTCTGTAATCTCAACACTGGGAGACAGAAGTTGGAAGATAAGGAGTTCAAGGTCATCCTTGGCTACATATCAAGTTTAACGTTATAACGGGAGAGGTACAAAGCCCAACCACAATAGACAAGAACAGGGCACAGATGTGTAATAACAAAACAAGTGTTGTTTTGTAAAACTGTTGCTAATAAATGTAAATAATACTGATGCGCCTATAGTTTATGTACCTACAGAGAGGCATACGTAGTGAGATATCGTCATGTGCTGAAACCTAAAAATTATTTGTTACTGTGTACCAGTATCAAGTGTCTAGAAGGCCACCTATATAGAGCCATTGGCTCCTTTGGCTTCCAGTGTATTCCAGGGCATTCCTTCCTGCTCACTACTCCCATGCTGAACTCATCTGACTGTCGATGATTTCTATGCCTGCATATAAGTATGTGCACCACACGCATGCTGGGTACCCACAGAGGTCGGAAGAGCGCATTGCATCCTCTGGAACTGGATGGTTTTGAGCCTTTGTGTGGGTGCTGGGTATTGAACCTGAGCCATTTCTCCAGCCCCTGATCATTGTATTCTTAGTAATTGAGTAGAACCTCTGAAATCTGATAAAGTAGCTATTCTTTACATTTTTACTGTCATCTTAGCAAAACTGTAAGAGGACAATACAATACTGGTAACTAAAAGGCAGGTATTCTTATTAAATCCATTTTATGGTTCAATAAGTGAAAGTATCAGTAGTAGTCAAATGGGCATTACTGCTATAAAGTGTGAACTTGGAATCGGTTAGAGTGGCTGCCATTTTCCCTAGTGAGCAAAGACAATGTTTGGTTTGTGTCTACCTTCATTTCACTCCAAAAAGACAAAGCCAGATGTTAAGTTCTGTGAGAAAACCAGTTTCTTACGCTACAGTCTACTGACTCATTTTGTGCCTGAGAGAAGATGCCAGATGCCAGGAGTGTTTTCCAAATGATTTCCAAGGAACGGATAATTATAGCTCAATTACAGTGTGGTTTTATAATGCTGTAACCTCCATGCCATAAAGGTGAGCCATCGAGCATAAAATCAAGACGTTACTAGTAGAGAGTCTGAGTGTGGGAAAGGTTCCTTGGGTTGTAGGAGGAAGAAGGGTTCTGTATGTAGAATATGAATTAGTGATCTAACAAGGAAGTGTTAGATCACTAATTCAGGGTTAGGAAAACACAGTCACTATAGTGTCCTCAGCGATGCTCTGAATCGTCTAGCCAATAATTAATTTCACAGGTTAAACATTAAAGCAAGTCAGACCATGGGTTTTGACTACGAGGTTTCTGAAGAAAAGTGGTCCCCGAGGTTGAAACCAGTCAGTGTGAGGCCCTCTCAGGAAATACTTAACTTTGTCTACGGATGGTAAATGGTGCTCTTATCAAGGCAGGACTTGTTAGATAAATAAGTAGCTACCATTCATATTCATGGACATGCATATGTCTGTGCAGGCATATTACATACTTACACAAATGTGTAGCTGGAGTTTCTTTCCAGCCTGGTCCCACAGCCGATTAGCCCCAATAAACACACAAAGACATTAATTTATAAACTGTTTGCGGATGGCTAGGCTTCTTGTTGGCTAGCTTAATTATTAACCCATTTCTACTAACCTGTGTATTGCCACGAGGCTGTGGCTAACCCGTAACCCAGCATGTTACTCCTTCAGCAGCATGGCGTCTCTCTCTGCCTCCTCTTCCCGGCCTTCTCCTGGTCTGCAAGTCCCGTCTATGCTTCCTGCCTGGCTACTAGCCAATCAGTGTTTTACTCATCAGCCAATAAAAGAAACGTATATGCGGAAGGATGTCCCCCATCACAAATGCCTGTATGATGAATATATGTTCATATTTTTCTAGTTCATTTTTTTAGTGAACTCACACATAGTGGGTTCTACCACCAAGTTATAAACACAGTCTCGTGTGTGTGTGTGTGTGTGTGTGTGTGTGTGTGTGTGTGTGTGTGTGTGTGTGCATGCACACCCTTTAAACAGTCTCAATCTATTTGTGGTGCTGGCCCAAACTCACCTTATAGCCTAGGCCAGCCTCAAACTCACCGAAGTCCGCCCTCCTCAGCCTTCCAGGTGCTGGGATTGTCAGTGTGCACTGCCACGCCTCAGTTTCCGGCCCTCTTTTTCATTTTGATACAGGCTCTTACCGGGTTACCTTGGCTAACCTTGAACTCTTTTTTTTTTTTTTTTTTTTTGGTTTTTTTCGAGACAGGGTTACTCTGTGGCTTTGGAGGCTGTCCTGGAACTCGCTCTGTAGACCAGGCTGGCCTTGAACTCACAGAGATCTGCCTGCCTCTGCCTCCCGAGTGCTGGGATTAAAGGCGTGCGCCACCAATGCCCGGCCTCCTTGAACTCTTAATAGCTCAGGGAGACCTTGGATTTGCAACCCTCTTGGCTCAGCCTCCCAAGTAGCTGTGATTACAGGCCTGCCTGAACCACCAGGGTTAGCTCTTTCTTACTTTCTAGTGCATTTCTATTTACCTTATATCAAGCACTGGGCTAAATACTTTTTTATTATGTATTAGGTAGCTAATATGTGTATGTTTTTCATGATTGTATATATTCTGATTAAATCCATGGAGGCTTAGCACATGTCTGAAATACCAGTAGAGTGGAGGAGATACTGTAGCAAAAAGGTTAGAGGTTGGATGACAACTGGACCTAAGTAGTAGGTTTCAAACCAGCTTGGCCTAGAGTGAGACTTGGTCTCAAAATACATACATATATCATAATTCTTGTAGCAGTTCTAGGCCATTGATACTAGTATTGAAATTTAACAGAAAGAATCGATGAGGTTCTGAAGGTGGGGTTTAAATGAGTTCACCAGACCCAAGATAAATGATAAATAGGTGTTTTTAGGGACACACTTACACAGATAAGAGTTAATAACCACTGTGGTCTTCCTGCTTCAGAAGGTGCAGTCTCTGTGACCCAAGAGAGTGTGAGCCTGAAGTTCCTGCTACCTTAAAGGTGTCATGTCTGCACCTGAAACCACTGCCCAAAAGGTGTGGCCACTACTACAAGTTCACT